CAGATTGATGCTACAGTAAAGGCGTTGGGGCTGGGGTGATTCTGTTCAAAGAAAGAGCTTTATTAGGATCACTGCGGCTGGTCCTCTTCAGCACTCGGGCCTCGACAGTCGAGCCCGCCTGTCAGAATTCTAGGCATTCTCAGGCGTTGAGAGAGTTTAAGTGCGTCGCCCAAGACTTCTGAAAGTGGCTTCGGCACCCGACGGTGGCTTTCGTCGATGGCGCCGCGTGCATCGGTAGTGATGCGACGGCTTTTGCTACGTGAAATCAATCAAAATCACTTCCCTGCTAATCCACGTCATGTGAGCTGTCTCTTGATGGATTGCTCGAATTCGGCCGTGCCCTTGAGCATGGTGGTAACCGAATGACAAGGACTTGTGCGGGAACTTCTGGAGCACAGTCACATTTGGAAAGGTAAATTTCCAGATTGCCGGGACCTAGTATTGTATGGGGCGTCCAAGCGGGCATGTGGTCATCTTTTCGAGTTATCTGAGTGACTGGTGAAGGTGGCGGCGGTGTGCAAGGTGGTGAAAGCGCCGTGGCTTGGGGGCGCGAGTCAAGAAATTTCAAGCGTGACGGGGCGTTATTCTGGAAGAGAATGAAGAAAGTACTACTGGTGGTAATATACACCGCTGTAGAGAGTCCGGTATTGCACGTCGACGTATTGACGGGCTGGACTTGTTGTCGCCCAAGCCGTGTCGCGATTTCATCCGAAGGTGTTGCCGTAAATGATGTTGGTTTGATGAGCCGTTTGATGAGATGGCTATTGCTTGTCATCCCCCGCATTTGATTGCAGAAGACAAGGGGGGCCGGTTTTCGAAATTGCCCATTGCCCAAGCTGTCCGGTGTTCCCAAGAAGCTGCCAACGAAACAGCAAAAGTCCTTGTTATACGCGGCACACGTAGCCGTTGTGTGGCCTCCAAAGTTCCCAGAAGCAATACAATTACTCGGCCAAAGCAACCGTCCTGCCAGCGCTGTCTGCCAACTTGAACACTTATGCCTCAATGCACTTCATGCAGACGTGAACAGGAATCAATCGCCAGCATCCACGACGAAGTGGGCACGGCAGTTCATGTTAGCAGGCACCAAACATTCGGTGAGCCGAATTAGAGGGAGATGTGGCCGCTGGCGTCGACTTGGACCACGGAGGAATTGGGTCTAGTTCCACAGGGATCTGGCAATGTGGCAAGTATTTATTGAGGGCGGAATGCAAGGCCTGGACGCGTCGAGTATTGAGGCAATATGTACAAGTTATTGCTCGTGTTGGCAGCAGGGGAGACCAAGGGCGATGCCAGCAGTGACCGTCGCAAAACCGGTTACCGCCTTGCCGACAAGAACGTGCACGGATTTGCCAGTCCACGGTAACATTGAACCCTGTAACCCCAGATTTCGCCCACGGAAACAACCGGACTCTTGTGATCCAAAGTCCGTCATGCTCAAGACGGGCCATTTGCCGATGGAGCAATATTGGCAGAAGGTCTTGTAAATCATTGTCCGGCTAAAGTGTCTTCGAGGAAATGCGAGGAGCATCAACAACTGGAAATAGAGATGTGTCTCTGATGGTGCTCCGTATGCACTCATAATTGTAACTGGGTGGCTGGGAGGGTGTGGAGGTTCAAATGTTAGCTAGCAGATGGAGAGCGTAGATGACCCGACCACAGTCAATTGGAAATGACGACTCCAGCAGGGACAGGCTGCCTTTTTGGGCAGTCGAGGACATAGGTACTCAGTACCTAGCACCCAGCAGCTGGTACCTAGCACTGCGCCGTCCAGAGCGGCTCTTCAAAGTGTACTATTTATTATCTATAAAGTTCAGAGTACGGCGTGCTAGCATACTAATGAAACCCTGCCACCTGCCAACTCTAGAACGCCCACCAGCCAGCCGTACCTGCCTTCTAGTTCGTAGTTAAGGGCTTCGCTAGCGCTTCAAATGTTCAAGTTTGACCTTGCGCCACAACTTCGACACTAACTACTACTGCGGACAAACCAGCCGACTCTTCGCACTACACCAAGCCTTCATTCACCCTTTGCAATCCTCCAAGTTCCCAATTGAGCTACATTCCGGCCGGGTTCACCTCATTTGCCACCTTGATGCAACCCCATACCTCTCCCCGTTGATAAATCGCGGCCTGGATAATATCCACCGCACTATTGTCTGCCGCGCCATCATTTACGGAGAACATATCGTACGTATTATGGGGCATGGAGTACGGAGAATCAGTACGCACACCCATTGAACACATTGGTCCCAATTAACCCATTTACACAGATAGGAAGCCAACGGAACCAACATGTGCATGGCGAAATGCGGGCACTGGAGGTGTTGGATGCTGGATGCTGGATGCTGATAGTGCTGGACGCACCTTATCGTAGTGGTGCAGGCGACCAGCTAGTTATTCCCTACCAACAACAAGACCATGCCATATCAACTGGTCATTCAGCGACAAAGTCGGCCCTATTACCAATCGGTGTGCGTGCCATGATGGGGGTGCTTGGCGAGATTAGATACCAACAAGTCGACCCTGACCAGAGCCATGAACGATGGGATGCCCTTATCTGGCTGGAGAGGTCAGTCAGTGCGCCACTTGTCGCTCAGTCATTCCGAAAGAGCTGTTCAGCTTCGCTTCACTTGTTGTCTGAGACATGCGCCATTCGGGGTAGGCTGTAGCGCAGCAAACCACTCGTGAGTCTCAACAGGCTCCAAGACAACCTACCTAGGGGGTGACTTAGTACAAGAGTTTAAACTTGGCGGCTGCCGACCTAATCGTTCCGCCTGCCACATCACTCTAAACCTTCCGACGCTCCGACCGCCGCAGTCGCCCAGTTCCGTAATATGGATCGGAACACGTTCCGGCCACTATCTGCGACAATGTGTCAGATGCTCTACCCAGGAGGTGAGACCTCGGAGGAGGACTGAAGTCTGACGCAGATGCTACGTACCACCTCTTAAAGCACTCTAATCAAGCAGACCCAAGCGTTTGAGCCTGGGCGAAGGGGTCTCATAGATGTCGGTCATGATACTACATCTGCAAGCGGCCCATGCAAAAGCTCGACTGATAACGGACAGAGGCACGGAGAAGGGCGACGGTTATTAGCCGAAGGCCCATTTTCAGGGATTCGACGGTCAAGAACTGCCCCCTGCTTCTCCCCGCCTCCAGCCTGGAGAGCCGCCGCAACTTCCATGGCAAATGGCCATGGCCCATGTGAGGGTGCTCGCACAATGATAGGAGTCGCCGCTCACACCCCCCAGCCAATCCTGGCTGTTTGGTTGTCTGGCTGACGAGAGCGCTGAACTAACGGGCCCCCATGTCTTGCGTCTTAGGGGCAAAGAGAACGAAGTACTACTTGAGTGAATGGAAATTCCAGTGGCATAACGTCCCTGCGATATGACTAGTACCACCACTTGGCTTGTTGAAGACTGCCAAGTTGGGACAGGGCCCAGGCCTTGATATGAATTGCTCGGCGGGCTCACTCTTTTTGCTAGGTGCGCTCACGCACTACCAGGTACCTAAATATCAGGTTATATATTATAATATATTACTATATATTTTATGACAGGTAAATATATTCTATTATAAATTATCTCTTTAGAATGGGAAGAGTTTAAATACGATAAATACTTACCTACTGATGGGTGAGCGCACCTAGCAAAAAGAGTAAGCCCGCCGAGCAATTCACCTAGCAGGGGTCATCGGGCAGAGCAACACCTAAAAGAACAGAACATTGAATTGAGGTGATTCGTTCGTTTACTTCCGCAGTACCAAGTAGTACGTCACATGCGGTTAGGAGGCAAGTGATGGGGCTCGGGGTAAACCGGCTCTTTGACACGAAATAACCAGCCAGTGGTTTCAACGGCGAGCCACGTGAAATCAGAGTACTATTCTTTGTTCCTCAATTGGATGCTGGGATAAGTATCGCTGGCTGACATGTGCGAGCAGCCCCCGCCAGAAGACAATGGCAGATTCCCCCGTGCCCGAGTACACATGTACAATGTGCGTGTACGCGATAGTTGCAATTGTTGCGCCCTCTTTCCTCGACTGGTCCGTCGTAATTTTCCTGGTGACCCCGGTTGACTGTGCGTCCGTCCCGCCAGATTACGCACCATCGCCAATCATGGCCAAAGCAGAACCCTGTCCGCATCCACAACAGGCCACCTCACCTCTCGTCCACCAAGACCATGCCAAAAGCCATCCATGACTTGTGCTGCATCGACATCCACAGTAGCGTGTCTGTACCACATCCTCCAGCAGATGTGGCGTCCGGTGTGCTTCATGCTTGGCCCCGCGGCTCCTTGGTGTTCCACCAGGCTTTCAGAAGCACACCAAGGAAACCCGCCCCGTCTGACCATCATCGCGTGCCGAGTCGACCAGCGGCCAACTCAGCCGCATTTCGCCAGGCCCGTCTCCCAGTCTCCCAGTCTCCCGCAATCGTCTGGGCAGGGTCGGTTACGGAGCAGCTTACGGAGTAGATTGTTAGCGTGTTAGTTCACATCGTTGGGACATGGAGTCGGCCCAGCAAGACTGCCTCCACAATAACCACTTTGGACTCCCACATCCACACTCCGACTCCAAGGCCGCTTCCTCTGTTCCTCCATATCCTGAATTGCCTCGACCTGCTGCCTGTGTTTGCTGGGCCAGACCGCCGTCGACAAACCCGCCGTGTGACCATCACCATCCGTGCTCAACATCGGACACTACCAATAATAGCCCCATGTGACGGCCGCTCCAGCACCGAAATACTGATAATACATACCGGACCTTTGTAGTCGATTTGACTGCCCAAACTACCGCCGCGACCCTCAGCTCCATGTCGTCTTGACTTTCAGAACTGCCCGGTTTTCCGTACCGACCTAGCCGAGTTGATATCTCTACTTGTTGCCAAGTCCACAAAGAGCAGGGTGTGAATCGGTTTTGAAGGAGAATCCTGTCTTTTCCACCTCGATATATCCTCGCTCGTCGGGCCCAACCTGGTGCTCGACGGGCGCGGAGCGAACCAAACCGCCATGCCCGTCTATTCAGAGGCCCCCGGTCTGCGGGCCTTCCGCGACGATAAGCCGACGCTGCTGGTCTGTTGGTGGGCAACATCCTTTTGCACACTTATGATACTGCTGCGTGTCCTCGGTCGGTTTATAAGAACGGAACGGCTATTTATTGAGGATAAGATTGCGGCACTGGCGGTGATCCCGCTCGTTTTGCGCATGGTTTGCGTACACTTTATACTGATTTACGGCACTAACAATGCCGACTTCAGCGGCCTGGACCTCACCGCTGTACAGTTACATCACAAGAGCGTTGCAAGTGGACTAGTTTTGCTTAGCAGGTTCTTTTATGCTGCAACGTATGTCTCTCCCGGCTGCCCGGCTGCACTAGCCGCTTTGCTCTCTCGTGGATGGTGTCGCGCCAACCTATTCTCGCCCTGGCTGCTAACTCTTGACATCATAGGTTGTGGACTCTGAAATGTTGCATTCTCGAGTTCCTCAAACGCATAACGGACCTCACGTGGGAAAAGCACCACCACACAGCACTCATCGCAATCCGATGGACGTTGCTAATAACCTTTATTGGCGTCGTCATTAGCGACCTGACCGAGTGTCAGCCATTCCGCATGTATTGGCAGGTTCTGCCAGATCCCGGCGGTCAATGCCGACAAGGATACGCACAGCTGATCACCATGGCTACTTGCAATATCTTCACCGACCTTTTACTCGTCATATTCCCGATACCAATTATCTTGCGAAGTAACATGCTCGTTCGAAGAAAAGTACAGCTTGTTCTGTTGTTTTCGCTGAGTTTGTCTGTCATCGTCGTCACCATTTATCGAGTGCCTCGCATTATACAAGAACATGGTCGGCAGCAATATCGGTCTCTTTTGGCCTCTGTCGAGCTCTTGTTTGCGACCGCAGCGGCCAATGCCTTGGTTTTGGGCTCATTCGTTCGCGACCGTGGAGTCAAGAAGCAAAAGTTCCATCGCAATTCCGGCGCCGACTCTTTTGATCGATCATCCCACCCTCGCAGACCAACTTTGCATCGACAATGGGGTAGTGACGAAGATCTTGTGAGAGACGTTGGGCTGGGTGTCGACGCGGAACTGCGAGAGCAGCTGGACAGCCCCGACGTTGAACAGTTCTCCCCTGTAGGAAGGATGGCGCCCAACCTCGATGCCGACATCAACTGGCAAGGCTCGAAGCGGCGAAGCCCTACCGAGCAAAGCGACGACTCCCTGCTCCCACAGGACCCATTAACCAAGGTGGATTCTAACAAGAAGCGTTTGTCATTTCTTGACGTCGGAGGCTTGCTTGAAGAATCTGTGGCCGGCAGCAGCGGAAGTTATAGACGGGGCAGCTATACGTCCTCTACGCTGGATCCTAATTCACCCAACGCCGCCCCTCCGCCTTCGGTACCAGCCTCCAACAACGGCGTGCGGCGAGGCTCGACGGCTTTGTTGCAGGATCTAGGCGGTCTGCTAGGACCGCTTAATACGAGGGCGGCCAGAGCAAAGTCCAAACCCGGGACAGAACTGCAGCCTATACCACAATCACGCGAGATACAAGCACACAATCCTCACGGAAACCCGTCGCCAGAACTCAAGGACCCGGGCGGTCTGCTGCTGCCGAGGTGAAACAGTGCCACGTTGCCTATTCTTTGATTGGTTTACGAGAAAGTACCCTGGAGCCAATGTCCTTTCTCATACATTGTCTCATCTGCGGCTCGGGCATGCACGCAGTTTTACGACTACTACTCTTCTTCTTTTTTACACACCTGGAATGCGACACAGATCTTCTCCAGCGTTAATGTGTTCATGTCTTATAGACGGCGGTTGTCAACCATGGAGTTTGGGATATATCACGACGAGCCTACAAACTATTGGATAATATTTACCACGGACATTTCGGGGATGAGCCAAATGCATTGCTGTCTCCTCTATAATGGGCTATTTACGAGTACTATGTTTCAAAGTGGAGGATATTGATTTTTGCATGTTTTATGTTTATGGATGTTTTATACTTAGGGATCGGGGCACTACTTGGGAGGCGGTGTCACGGTGCATATATATACCCGGCAAGAAGCCATGTTTGGGATGGTCATTTGGAGAATTCATTCAGCACGTTACGATAAGGGCAGTTTTGGTACATGATCGTCATGGCATACAGTATATATGCATTTGTAAAATTAGACGCAATATGACTACTACTTGGTTACGTTGTTAAAATGTCTCACGGTCCAGATATACGAAGACAAATGGGTGTTATTCTTCTATCCCGGGCAACTTACATCTGTTTCCACCTCTGAGCGAGATGCAAACCAGCAAAATAATGGAAGTGGGAGGGCTATCATTCTTGGAGGCCAACTATACTAGATCCTGGCGTTTTGCAGCTAGTTATTTTTACTCTTTTTTTTTTGTATCGTTGTTTTGTTGTCTTTTTTCTCGTCAAATTCACGTTTATTGCTGGCTTTGGGTTTGGTCGGACTCCAGTGTGAATGTTCCTCGGGCGCCTGTCCTTGATCCCCCCGTCATGCATGGCGTCGAGATGCCCGGTGATAACCAAAGCCCCGGCCCGGTGACTTTAAATTTGCATGTATGCAGGTGATGGCGATTATATACGCGTTTATCAGGAGGCGCACCGTGGCCCTCCCTCCCTGTGCACGAGACCAAGATCTTTTTCGAGAGGTGGTTGCTTGGCCAGCAAACAGGAGTCAGCTTTCCCGCGGACAAATCGTATCATGTGGCGCGGCGTATAGATGCCATTGTCTCAGGTCAGATGTCATCGCCACCTTTGCCGAGGGGAGTCGCGTAGAGCGTTCCGTGTCCTGGGCTGGTCCGACAGCCAACTCTGTGATGTGTACGGACTTGATGCGCAGGGGGAACTTGGCCGCCTGAACCGCATAGGTGGCCACGAGCTGATTCAACGGTTTCACCATGCACTCTTTTTTAGCTGCACAACACGCTGCGGTAGAGTTCTGATTGTACAGTTCCGATTGCACTTCTACCTACCACGAATGGATAAACCCCTGAAACGCCGCAGTTTTTCTTTTCCCAAATGCTGAATATGATTCGCCTTCACTCTTCCACGTCGGCCGTGAAGCTGCGGTGTAATCGCAGCCTGGCTCTTAGTTTCACCCACCTCCTCTGCTCGAAATTCCCATATCCAATCTCGACAGAGACCCCTTGGCAACCTTCCTCAGACGCACAATCTGTAACTCGCATACCGACCAGCCGTCTCGCTGACTCGGATAATCTTGACGACCTGCCCTCTTTTCAACCCCAAATACCTTGCCACGGGGTCCTTTTGCAAAATCCTAGGCAGCTGCGTCTCCTTCAAACGGTATCTCTTTAGCAAGGCCGACTTCTCATCTCTTGAGAGCAACACGTGTCGGGGCACCAGCTCGTGGTGCGTAATGTTGACCAGGAGATCGTCTTCGAGGAAACACTCAATCTTGGCGAGGTTCTCGACACTAGCGAGGGACTTGCGCGCGGCTGGGGACAGCGGGACGTGGGTGACCATGATGCCGGTCTTGTAGTTGTTTGAAATGGTGTATTTGGCGAACTGGCGGATCTGACCGACGCCGAATTGCTTGTCGGTCAAGAACTCGACCCATACAGGGCCGCAGTCGGGGACGGGATCGGGGTTGGACTCGGTTGCGGGGGGAGTGTTTTTCTTGAGCATGGCGTCGCTGGGACGCGCGGAGAACTGGAGCTTGGAGCGGCTGTTTTGTGGGCGGGCGGGCGGTTAGTCCTTGTAGCCTGGTGTTTTGAAAGTGTACCTGTGAAATGAAAAAAAAAGAAAAAGACGAAAAAACCGCCCGTTTGTGACGACTTTGTTTTGGATGTTGGATGGGACGTACTTTACTGAACCATCTGGGTTGCAGTACTCGTCGCGAAAGCGATCCAGCGAAATGTTGACTTCTTCTTCTGCCAATTCGTACTCCTGGAGCAAAGCGTCAGTCAGTCTACGGTGGTCGGGGCGGAAGGATATGCTGCAGGGCAATTTCCCTGTTGCCGCATTTTTTTCTCTTGCGGACATGACGTACCCGATCGGCGACCATCTCGTGCACCGTCCTCCAGGCCCTCCAGAGTCTCACGACCTCTTTGGACTTGGCATCGTTGGGCAGATCCTCCATGGTGACTAGCGTGCTGCGTCTGCGTGGTTTATGTTGCGCAAAAAGCAGAAACACAGAAGGCGTGGTTGAACTCCCGTCGCTGTGAGAAGATGTCGTTGGAAAATTGTTTGCCCTTTTGCGCAGCCTTGCAGCTGGGCTCCGGAGGTGGGTACCCTACCAGGGACTTGACTGGGTTCGAGGGGAGCGGTCATGTGACGCGGCGAGGGCGCCCCACCTGGGCCGAGCAGCGAACAGAGCCGAGTGCCTGCCTACCTGGTACAAAGTAGCCGTGCGGGACATGGACAGTCTATCCCGCCACAGCCAAGCCTCAGTTCCCGAGAGTTCCAATGTTCCAAGTTGGCCGGCTCGTATTGGTCCAAAAAGGGGCTTTGTGGCCGTTGGACCTTGGACCCTTGAAGATGGACCGACTTGACCACTAAGTCTGACCCAGACCCAAAAAGGGGCCCCGTCTCAATGTCGGCTCCAGCCACGCATGTGCCGTCTGTGCCTGTTCTGGGCGGACTTTGATCGAGCGCCCAGCGGTCCAGCCGTGGTGTTAGTTGAGGTGTTTAGCAGTGGTTTAGCAGTGGTTCAGCAGTGGTCCAGTGGCTCAAGTCGACATCTGGAGGCTGGGGTCAAAAAGACAAAAAGGCACATCCATGGTGCAAAAAGACCAGTTGACCACATCACCAGAACCACATTTTTTTTTCTCGACGGCCGCACCTCGTGCCAGCTCTCCGCCTCTTCCTCTTTGACTCTGGACCCTCCCCTATTCCTATTACCATCCAATCCCCCAACCTTCCAATACAACTCTCGTCTATTGCTCGCGAGGAAGACCCTCGACGGCTTCGAATCGGCCTCTTCTACTCGGTATTCTTTTGGCATCTCTCTTTCGACAAGTACAATGGCTGAAGCTGCTGCGCCCGTCAAGCCTCAGGCTCAGGCCCCTGCCGCCGAGTCCCAGGCCCGACCTACTCGCCCTGATGAGAAGGCCTTCAACGAGGCTCTCGCCAAGGCTGAGAAAGACCACAAGGCATCCATGGATCGATTGGTACGTTGACGCCGTCCCAAAGCTTGTTCAACACCCGCAGTTTTTTTTTTTTTTTTCCTGTCCTCAGCCCCCTCGTTTTGCGACACCCGACTTGTCTTTCCAAATCTTGTCGCATCTGTATATAAGAAAGGGCAAAAGAAAAAAAGAAAAACCTGTACAGACATTTCGCTGCCTTGAAATCCTCTCTCTAACTCCACAAATAGAACGCCATCAAAGCCAAGATCGACATTGCCTTGCCCAACAAGAACAAGGACCAGCCCAACCCTACCCAGAAGCGACGCCAGGAACTCATTGCTCAGGCCAACGAGATCCGCCAGAAGCAGGCCGGTGGTAAGAGCGCCCGTACCACCAAGCTCGACCAGATCAAGCGTCTCGACGAGCAGGTCCGCAGCCGCATCGCCGAGCAGAAGACCGCCAAGGCCAAGGTTTCCTTCAAGAGTGCCGAAGATGTCGACCGCCAAATCGCCGCCCTCGAGAAGCAGGTCAACTCAGGTACCATGAAGCTCGTCGATGAGAAGAAGGCCCTTTCCGATGTTTCCAACCTGCGCAAGGTTCGCAAGAATTTTGGCCAGTTCGACGATTCGCAAAAGCAGATTGACGACCTCCGCGCCAAGATTAAGGAGATCAAGGACAGCATGGAGGACCCCGAGCAGAAGGCCTTGTCCGAACAGTACAACAAGATCCAGGCTGAGCTTGACACCATCAAGGCTGAGCAGGATGAGGCTTACAAGGGCATCTCCAGCTTGCGCGACGAGCGCTCCAAGCTCCAAGCCGAGCAACAGGAGAAGTACACCGCCATCCGAAAGCTCAAGGACGAATACTACGGCCAGAAGAAGGCTTTCCAGGCCTTTGAACGTGAGGCCAGGGAGAAGGCCAAGGCGCGCCGCGAAGCCGAAAAAGAACAGTGGAAGAAGGAGACCTTGAAGAAGGAGGCCGACAAGGCTCTTGCCGAGGCCAGCTACCCTGCTTACTCGGACGAGATTCGCCGTGCCAACAGCCTGCTCCAGTTCCTCGACCCTACCCATAAGGCCGAGACAAAGGGCCCTCTCACCGCCGACAGTGGCCTGGGTGCTCAGGCTCAGCGAACTGTTGATGACTCTGCTCTCAAGGGTACCAAGCTGGTGCGCAAGGAGGACCGAGACGACGAGTACGCCCCAGCTGTGAAGAAGGGCAAGAAGGGCAAGAAAGGGGGCGCCCCTGCGGCTGCTGCCCCCGCCAAGTTTTTCAACTGCCCTCCCTCTGTTGTCGAAGATTGCGCTTTCATTGGTGTCGACCCTCCCATGGCCAGCGCCGACGTGCCTACCGTTATTGAGAAGGTCAAGGCCAAGATTGAGCACTGGAAGAACGACCAGGAGGCTCAGACCCAGCGAGTAAGTGCCATTGCTACATCGACAATGAAAATTCCAACAACACGGTTCACAAAAAGAAAAGACAAGAAAAGAAAAAATTGCTAACAAATATTATTCAGAACATCGAAAAGGCTAAGAAGCAGATCGAGAAGCTTGAGCAGGAGGGAGCCAACGGCGACAAGGTTGCTGAAATCACCGAGGGTGTCAAGGACGCCTCTCTCAACGACAAGCAGGAGTCATAAATTTGACCTCCTGCAACTTACCGCCAAGTGTAGCCCCGTCTGAACACGTCGGCGTTTTCCTGACCTACTCGTCTGGTCGTCCCCGAGCAACACATCCATCCACCTAAATCCAAAACTCTACTAAATCCATTACACTTGAAAAGTTATTTCTACATGTCGAACTTACCTGGGGACAACAAATAAAAGGGCAAAATTGGTCAATGGGCTGGGTACATACAAACTTCTGACTGGGTACATACAAACTTCTGACTGGGTACATACAAACTTCTGACTGGGTACAGGCAATCACGTAGCAAAGGTGTGGCTTTCTTTGTTTGAAGAAGGGTGTTTTGTCTGTAACATAGGCGCCAGTTGAGTTTCTGTGAGGGGTCAAAAGAGAGCCCGGGCAGAAAAAAAAGCCATTTACTTTGTTCGAATATATTGTCTCATCATGACTGTTGATTGACGTGAGCTGCAAATGGTGAGAGCTAGCGTGTTAACGTGGCGCAATCCGTAGACTGCCGGGATTATGGAAAAACAAGCATGCTTCTTCGGGGCCTGGATTAGAGGCATGTACTGTAGAGAAGCAAAGGCAGTGCCAGAGTATCCGGGTCGATTTTGGCTAATTTGGCGTCTTGTGCTTTATACCCTTGGGCGCCGCGAAGTTGTCAACACTACGGAGAAGGACCGTGGACAAGACTATGCGAACGTGGCTGTGGGGGATCCAATCCTGTCACACAGAGAATGTGACGCCACACTACGGATATAATATGTTGCAACGGGGGTCCTTTGACATGCAGTCTGTGAACACTGCAGATACCTAGGCCGATACGGAGTATACAGGTGTTTTAACAAGTAAAACAATAGGGATGTGCCGAGCTGCCTCAGACTCATCAGACTTTGTCAACCGTCATTGGGACCAACCAAGACTTATGTAGCTGAAGCACCCGATTAATGAAAACAGTGTAAACACACATGTAATATTTTGAGAGCATGTTACACACGTACTGTTAACGAGAGAGTCGGTTCAGGTCTACAGCATCGATTTGCTTCATAAAGCGAATGGACACGAGTCAACTGATACAAAGAATATTGGTGATTGCTGTAGGAATTGTTAACACAATGAGCGATATGAAGTCTCATATCTCTGGCTTCCACGGATACCCACTCAGCGGGTATTACGCTAAGCTGACTTGCTCTTTATTCAATTGAAATGATAAAAATCCACCATCACACACCAGATGCCTTCAATTTTATGCCTTCTTGGAAAACTCCATGCGCCAATTGCAAACTACAGGTTTCAACGTCTCCTCGTCCAAGCTCATCTACTATCCAGAAAAAAAAAATAGGAGAAAAGAAATTCTGAAAACTCTGTCGCCGTTGATGCAAATGCTAGAAACAAACATGAGACGCGTTTCGTCGTTACAAGTCGCACCATGGCTAACTGAATGTCGTCGGCTGGCCGTATAGCATCGTGATAGATGGTGTCGTAGCTTTGTCTTCGTGTCCAAGAAATATACAAAAAAATTTAATGTTCGCCTGGAGGCTGAGCAGCAATACCGCCCGCCATCCTTTCACCGGAATCCCCCGTAGTAGGATGATGGCACAGGTGGCAGGTGCGCAGTAGTAGATGGTCGTCGAGCCGGTGGCTGGGAACCTCGGCGGTCCAATGCCAAATCTCGACCTGAATACGATGTCGGTAGGAATGGCGCGCCAGATAACGCCGGGGGCGCTCGCCGGCCCTCGCTGCTGGTGCTTGTGCTCCCTTCAAGACTGCGGCGCGTGGCCTTCCGGTGTCCATTCAGAGCACTCAGAGGTGGATCTTTGACGGCAGGTTCATCATCTGCCGGCAAGGATAATTCCACAAGTCCGTAGAAGTATTCGAGAACTTCGGGGTATCTTTGGACACTTGCTTGCCAATCTTCATCTATGCCACGCTTAAGTGCCCCTTGAGCCTCGGCGATTTGGTTTGGATGAGGAGGTGCATTATAATGGTAGAAGGAATGAGCAGTAATCTGATCCAAGTGCGTGGTGTGGGCGTTTTTTCGTCTCTCAGTAAGCAGACGAAAATACTCCAAGACGTAGTCCTGAGCATGACCCCGAACCCAAGAACTGTTTCCACCGCGTCAGCAATCTCGTGCCTGATAAGAACATGACAGTTGCTGAAGCAAGGACTGACCGTATATCGTTGTATACCGATCTCATCATGTGGTCTTCGGCTTGGCGAATGGCCATCTCCAGACCTCGGGCTTCACATTCACAAGCCAAGGTTGCCGGGGCATGGCATATAGCACAGTTTGGGTCCATGGAGACGGAGCCCTTGGGAGGCTTTGATGCTAGGGCTCTAAAGGACATCTTAGTAATGGGTCAAGCGAGGGTGCGGCGATGATAATTGCTGGGTCAAGATTCTATGGCCGTGAGGGCAACACAGCAAGGCTGAGATTTCTGGGGATGGTGACAAGCCATCAAGCAGCCCAAGCCAACGTTGCCCGCCAAGTACCTGTATGGCTAGTCCCAAGGCAATCTCACAGTCTTTGTAATGTTGGCAAGGGCAGACGAGGCTACACTGAAGCTCGGACACATGAAGCTTGTTGGCGGCTGGGTAAAAGAGCAACGGGAGGACAACAATGCTAGGACCGAGGAGTGAAGACGCGTTGGAAGGGAGAGAGGAGGAGGAATTGAGAGAGTGGTGAAGCAACTGACCTGCTGGACGGGGAGTGATCTACGTGCTAAGGGAGGAGGGACTGTACAGAAAGGTGTGACCATAGGCGGACAGTTCGAAGCAGGAAAAAAGTCATATGGCAGATAGGAGAGCAGTTGGCGTCGAGTCCCAATGGTCAGCCTCCTGCAGCTCCGGCACCTCTGGCACCTCTTGGTCTCGCGGCCCGGCACCAGGCGCTTGTGGTGGAGGGTCAATGACGACGGAATGGGTGGCCGAGGTTCAAGATTGGTGCTTGTTTGCTCGCCTGTTTAGGTGAATGAATCAATGTACGGTGCGCTCCGACCGGTAGTAGGCAGAGTACTCGGTACTGCGTCTGCGTCTGCGTCTGCGTCTGCGGTATCGTGGTAAAAATTCGCAGACGAGAATACAGCGGCAGACAAAAGTCGGTCGACGATTGAAATAGGGACCAGTTGACGAGTTGGCCCCCCTTGTACCGGATGCTGGCCGCACAAGCGATGGAAGCGGTGGAAGCGGTGGTGCCACGTCTTGAGAGGTGTCGTGGCTCACATTGAATCCTCACAACTGGCTGCAGCCGTCATGCACAACCGCCCAATGCTTTCTGTCAAGTTGCATTTCGGGCCCAAGGTGCCAAATGGGGCTTGCACTGGTGGATTGCGGCAATGGGGGCCTCTCGTCTCGAGCGAGGGCCTTTGAATGGCCCATTGATGGTGGAGGTGCGGTTCAACGACGAAGCTTTTGAGGAACGGGCCGAGGGTTTCGCACTTCCAACGTCATTTCCAGCACGACCTGGCCGTGGTGGATCAACCAGCTGGTAACAACCGAGCTCGAGTCTCGCGGACGATTTCCCAAGATGTGATATGTATCAAGATTGGGACAACACAAGCTGCTAAGAATGGGGCGGTGTGGGAAGGGTGCAGGATGCAGGGAGATGTGAGGCGCCGCAGAGGCGGCCAGAGAAACCGCGTCTTGTCACCGAGGGCTACGATGGGAAGGAGCGACCTTGACTTATTCAAGTGCGGTGGCCACAGCGTCAGCTTCTCATGCAAACCAGTCGATAATGGAAATGAAGCTGAGGTTGAATTGTACAATGTCCATACTTGGTTTGCATCGACATTGTTTACAGAAACAGGCCACCTTGGGACCGTAACTCAAGGACCTCTCCCGCACAACAAGTGTTACCCTACAAGAACACAGCTCTCAAAGTCGATTCGCCCAAGCAGATTTATAAACGGCGGGCCGATTTCCCAGTACCACCCCGGAAATGTCAAAATTCTCCTACTTCGGCAGTTATTGGTGAATGTCTTGCCCAAAGTAATCATCGGTCGTTGATTGCATTTATGCCGGCCCACGTCCCTCCATAAATCCCATCTGAATTTAGCCCACAAATATTTCCTCGGCCCATCCATGCACCAAGCTTCAAGCTTCACCTCCCTCTCATAATCCTCCGCGGAATCCAACTCTCTGCAACACTCCATTGCGACTGGCCTCATGCCGTTCTTGCGATCGGTGGCCATACGCCAATGCACCACCAGAGGCACTCGGATAGTGCTTGCCGGCCGTCCAAGCTGGCAAACGCGATGCACATCTAGCTCATCACCCCAACCCACGCTCAACAATCTCCCCGCGTCACGATTAAACCCTAGCCCCGACGACTACGCCTCTCCCAATTTTGCAGACAAGGCCGAACTGACAATCTACGCTGGAAGAGGCGGCAATGGCTGCGTCTCTTTCCTGCGCGAAGCTTTCTTGCCCGATGGCCCTCCCAACGGCGGCGATGGCGGAGCAGGAGGAAATATATACATCCAGGCGGCCCATGGCGAAACATCACTGCATAAGCTAGCCAGGAGACGTTTCATTCGTGCAGGCCGCGGCAAACATGGCCAGGGGAGTGCAAAGGGCGGTTCACGCGGCGAAGATGTCATCATCACTGTACCGGTGGGAACGATAGTGCGGGAGCTTGAAAGGGAAGATCCAGCCGGCGAAGAAGCTATGAACATCAAAGCGTACAGGGCATTGCAGAAGCAACGGAGAAAGGAGGAACTACTTCTTCAAGAGGAAAAAAAGAGACGCGAGAGCGTGGAAGAGGCACACGAGGACGAGATTCTCGACAGAAAAGGTCGTCCAAAACAAGCACCAGAAGACGAAGACGAAGACCTAGAACTCGATGACCCAACCCGCCAAAAATGGCTCCTGTACCCTGGAATGTCCAAGTCCGAAATGAAAAGCACTTCGTTTCCACGTCTGCCGCGCCGTCATCCTCTCCTCCAACAACCAACTGCCCCGATCTACCTCGACCTATCCCGCCCTACACCTCGGCCCATCCTCCTCGCCGCAGGTGGAATCGGTGGCCTGGGAAACCCACACTTTACATCGCGCGAGCACCCCAAGCCAATCTTTGCTACAAAAGGCGAAGAGGCGGTTTCTATGAAACTCACACTGGAGCTGAAGCTACTTGCGGACGTAGGACTTGTTGGTCTTCCGAACGCGGGTAAAAGCACGTTGCTGCGAGCGTTGACAAACAGCCGTACAAGAGTGGGCAGCTGGGCATTCACGACGTTGCAGCCAAACATAGGGACCGTGGTGCTGGATAAATATTCAGGGCAGCCCACCGCACGAAGTCATCGGAAACCGAGTATAGAAGCAGACGAGTCTTCCGGCGCAGCCCTCGAGCCTAGGACGAGGTTCACCGTCGCGGATATCCCTGGTCTTATCGAAGGCGCTCATCTTGATCGCGGACTAGGGATAGCCTTTTTGCGGCACGTCGAACGAGCAGGCGTACTCGCCTTCGTGATCGATCTTGCTGCGGGGAATGCTGTCACGGCTCTCAACGCACTATGGCGCGAGGTCGGTCTTTATGCTCAGATGCGAGATGAGGAAGACCGTGATCGCGAGGCCGAGTCCCGCGTGGACTGGGATTTTGCATCAGACTCTTCGCGGGGGCCGATTAACCTTATGAACGCAGAGTACGCTAGTCCCTCGGCCTTTGAAGAAGGTTCGGCACAATCGGGGCTTCACATTGCTGGGAAGCCGTGGTTTGTGGTCGCCACAAAGGCGGATCTACCCAATACACAGGAGAACTTCAAGGAGCTGAATGCATACCTGGATAAGATAACAAACGGGGAAGTTGCGCACCCTAGTGGCGTGGAGGGTGCTTGGACGAAAAATTGCGCTGCTATTCCCGTGAGTGCAATTCACGCGCAGGGTGTGGATAGGATAGTCCACTGGACTGTAGGGTTGCTGGATGAGTAGATATAGGCGACAGGACTCGAGATTGCAAGAGAGCAATGCATACTATAACCACCTTGTATAATAGTTCATGTACCATAATGTAAACCTTTAATTTTTCTGCGTTTTAAATCGACCACAGGACCTTTCCTAAATCCTGATATTCTGTTGCACAAAACGAAATACATATGCCCGTCATGCATCTACGGCTTCAGCCCGTCATTGTCTCTCATATTATTCAGGGGAGGGCATATCCTCCAAATCAGCACTGTCCAGGGCCTGCTCCTGCTTGGTCTCGCTCTCCGTGTGCTTACTCTCGTCCTTCTGGTCCTTCTGGTCCTTCTGGTTCTTTTGTTTGTTCAAGGTGTTGTTAATCAGGGGCGTAGTATCGTTAAAGATCCTCAGGAGCATAGCAGCTCTATCTTCCTTGGGAAGCATAAGATTTAATGAGTGAATACTCTTCCACAGCGGCAAGGCCATCCGTTCGGTGAAATCTGGATCACCTGCCTCGGGCTCGATGCGAAGCACACAGCAACCCATGCTGACATCGCGAACTCTCTCACCTATCTCATCAAAATTCTTCCACTCTTCGTCCGCAATGCGGGGGAACATTTCGATGAGGAGCTTACGAAGGGTCTCCTTCTTGTGTAGGTGAATGACCCGTGGTTCACCAACATATCCTTGGACGATTGGCATACCTTCGGACTGGATGCGCCAGCGGCACACCTCGGCTGAAGGGGCATCCTGCTTCATGTACATGCGTACACCGCCGTGGACGAAACGCACGCCACGGCCCTCGTTTTCGGTGAGGATATCGCGGATGAGGGCCGTGGTGTAGTAGATGGCCTTGGCGGGCTCACCGAGTTCGTTGCGGACCATGTAGCGGTTGTCGGGAAAGCGAGTAGAGAGATTGTAGAATTGCTTGATGTTCTGGATGACAGGGTGGGACGGGTCGAGGTATTTGAAGGGTTCTTCGGGAGGACCAGCTTTCTTGGATTTGGTGACGGGCTCGGCGGTTTGGACCAGCGGTGCAGGCGTAGTAGCAGATGAGTCGGCTTCGGTCTTTGCCTTCTTAGCTGTCTGTTCGCTGTCGTCCTCTTCGTGCGTTCTCTTTGTGCCTTTTGTGCCAGCATCATCCATGACCGCGTCGCCCTCTGGCTTGGATTCGGTGGTCTTGGTGGCAGCAGGAGCCTGAGCGGCCATCTCAGCTGGCTTTACCTCCTTCTTTTCATCAGAGGCTTCCGACTTGCCATTGGTGGCCGCCGTCTTGGGCTCGTTCTCATTACGCGCCTTGAAGTCGGTCTTTTTCTCTAGAACAGTAATGAAGAAACCACCGGTGTCCTGAAGGTGGGGATAGACTCTCATGCATCGCTCCAAGGGCAGGTCATAGCACTCAGTTCCTTCCAACTTGGGGAACATAGTTTGAGAAACACGACCAGGCACCACG